TAGCCCCAGCTGTCCTGGAACTCACCATGTAGACCAGGCTGGCCTAGAACTCACAGAGATCCACCTGCCTCTGCCTCCTGAGTGCTGGGATTAACAGCGTGTGCTACCACGCCCAGCTTATTTATTATTTTTACTTTATTTTACATGTATAAGCGTATTGCCTGCATGTATGTAAGTGCACCTGTGTTGTGCAGTGCCCATGGAGGTCAGAAGAGGGCGTCGAATACCCTGGAACTGGAGTTACAGATGTTTTTTTTTTAGGCACCACATGGGTGCTGAAAACTGAACCAGGTCCTCTGCTAGAGCAGCCTCTTAGCTGTTGAGCCATCTCTCCAGCCCGTTTGTTCGTTAGGAGTTTTTATTTATTTAATTAATTTACTTACTTTTTTAGACAGGGTCTCACTCTATAGATCAGGCTGGCCTTGAACTCACAAGGATCCACCAGCCTCTACCTCCCAAGTGCTGGGATTAAAGGCGTATACACCCCCCATCCCTGGCCCTTGTCAGGGACTTTCAGAAAACACTTGTAAAACTCTTCCAGATTACTTATGGGTCTTTATACCTCTAGGGAAGACGTAAGCAAATTTAACATAGAAAGTGTATTTTTAAAGTGAGCACAGTTGTAGAGTGTGTTCTTGTTGTGGGTGCTTATTAAATATTTGCTGAAAAATGAACAAATTAATACTGAATAATTTGGGTGCTTACAAAGGATGATAAGAAAATGAGAAAGTGGTAAAAATTAGATTAGCATAAAAGAAGTAGTTGGGTCAAATTCCCTACACATAAAAGACAAAAGTTTGGAAAAGTAGAATCAAGACAAGACTGTAAGGATGCTCAGTTGGGTAGAGAAAGATTGGCTGACTGGAAAAAAGGCAGTAAAATTGTGTTGCTATTTTAAAGCAATTCTCTAAGCTAGATAGAGTTTCTTAATACTTCTCTGTACTGTAACCATCACAACTCCCTTAAGAGTATCAGCAAGTCTTGCAAAAAGAAAGAGAGCTGGAGCCTGTGGCCAACCTTGAAGGTTCTCAGTCTTGTCTGATCTCGAAAGCTGAATAGGGTCAGGCCCAGTTAGTACTGGGGCAGGATAAAGAAGCCTGGGAAGGTAGCCCAGTGACTTCGCATGAATGAGGGCCTGGTTTCAACCTGTATCACCACAAAAAAACAAAAATGGAAGAGGAGCAAAAGACACTTCAGAGACATATCAGTCAATCTTAATTCAGACCTTTTTTGAACAGTAGAATTATTTTTTAAAAAGAGCAAGATATTTACCTAAGAAAACAAAATATTAACTGGCTCTTTGCTCCTGTTAAAGAATTCATAAATTTCATGATGGAGAGTGGCATATATCCTTTTCTCCCTCTCTCTGTTTCTCTCTCTCTCTCTCTCTCTCTCTCTGTCTCTGTCTCTGTCTCTGTCTCTTTCTTTCTCTTTATGTTTTTTGAGACAGGTTCTCATATTGCCCAGACTGGCCTAGAACACATTGGATAGAACTCATCATATAGTTGGGGGTGGCCTTGAACTCCTGATCTCTTGCCTCTGTTTCCCTAGTGCCAGAATTATAGGCATGCTCCAAGGAGTTAAGATGATATGTTTTCTTAATAATAATTTTTAAACACTACATACTGAAATGTTTATAAATGAAATAATATGAAATTTACTTTCAAAATTAATTCAGGATATGTGTGAGGTAGGTGTACAGATGAAGCAAGGTTAGTTCAATTACTGTTGGAGGATGTAGCTCACTGGTAGAGCACTTGATCAACATGCATGAGGTCCTAGGTTCAATCTTGAGTAGCTGGGGAAAACAGATTAATTGACCTGAAAGTTATTGAAGCTGAATGATCAGTATCTGAGCATTCAGTAAGTTATTGTTTTGTTTGAAATTGTCCACATGGAAAGCTGAATGGGAAAGTATAACTGCCAAAAACCTGTGTGACTCTGAGAAGCTCTGTGCCTTCCATAGAAGGGTTTCTGGATCACAAAGAACAAAGCAAATCTGAATTGCTAGCTTCTGTTTACTAAAGAAACACATTTTATTGACGCTGGATTCAAAATACAAGTTTGGTCTGCATTGCACTTGGCTTTGTATTTGCTCTGACTTGCCATCTCTGCTCCTACTCACCCTCAGTTTTCAGAAGAGCAGCACTTCAACAGCTTCCTGAAAGCCTTTCGAGAGAAAGTGGAAATTAAACAATTTAGTCATTTCTGGGAAATTGTTGTTCAGGGTAAGGTGTTCTTTTTTATTCTTCCAATATTTATGCTAGTTAAAACATTTACATATAGCTTTGATTTTATTTTCTTTTTCCATTTTCATGTGTGTGATGTGCATGTATGTGAAATGCATGCTTGCATGTGTGAGGGCACATGTTGTATGTGGGTACACGTGTTATGTGGAGGCCCAAAATTGATGCTGGGAATCATCTTCCATTACTCTTCCACCTTAGTCACTGAAGCAGGGTCTCAGTCAAATCCAGAGCGTGCTGATGTGTGTTTTGTTAGCCAGTGTGTTTTTGGGATCGCTTGCCTCTGCTGGAATTCCAGGCAGAATTCTACACTTACTCAGCATGTTTTATGTCAGTTCTGGGGATCCAAATTCTGGTCCTTAAGATTGTGTAGCAAATGCTTTAACCACTGATGCTTTAACTATCTTCCTAACCCCCAAATGTACATATAACTTCTAAATGTAATTTACACCAGGTGATGTCTTAGGTGGGACCTGATAACTTTCCAGTTGGCTTTGGGAAATGCTCAAGATTCGTTGAACTCAAACTCTTGCTTAATAAGCATAAATATAGAGTGATAAATAACAAGTAAAACATAGGTGTCCTGTGATATATCTAAACAGTCTGATCCGTACCTGGAATTCTGCCTTTCTATTTGTTGACAGAAGCAGCTGTGTGGGCAGACATTGCCCCCCTTTCTCAGATTCTTGGGCCATTTGGTCCTGCTGGATCAACAGCTCTTGGATTGACTCACCTGGGTTTTCCCTTCCCTGTCACTTTTCCTCACTGTGCTCTGGTTTTCCTATCAGCAGCCTGGCTTCTTCGTGCCCCAGAGCCACTGGGCACCATACTTAGTCACAACAGCCAACAGGAATGAAGCACAGGGAGAGAGACACATATTACCTCTGCTTCAGGCTTGATGTTTGTTTCTTTCATATCCTTTTCTCTTTTTTTTTTTTTTTGACTGTGACCCAATTTTCTTTCAGCACTGGAGTAAAAGATATTTATTAAAAATAAATACTATGAAAACACATAAAGAGATGGTGTGAAACATTTCCCACTATTAATCAGGTGACAAAATTAGTTTCTAACAGGCAGTATTTTATCACATGAGCAGCTGTTTTCCTGACAGTTAATTTTTCAGCCCTTTCACCTCTACACTGAAGAGCAAAAGCAATTAGGAGGAGTGGTGAATGGGGCTTCTCAGATCACGGCTGTGTCTCTGTTGCTGACTCAGTAGCTGAAAGAGATTGGTTGTGGTAGTTATTGACTGCCTATAGCATACATATTTTCTGAAAGCTTGCATGCTGCTTAGAGGATATGCACCACTTGTGCCATTTCTGGGTACAAATGGATGTTAAATGCATGTGCTTTTCTGAAAGTGTATCATGCACCAGGCATTGGAGGTAGAAAAGAGTCATAGGAGGAAGAGAAAACTAAACAGTGGATTTCTGTCTTTGATTTGCCTTCACTGAACTAAAATGAACATACTATATTAAATGATACACATACGAAATACAGGAACACGGACTAGGTCGGGGGAAACAGGTTCAAGTTAAATAAACTCTATTCTCTGGATTCTCAAATTAATCTTTGCAGTTCTCATGATTATTATCACTATTAAAATGATTCGTTTTGTAATGTTTTGCTAAATAGCTCAGGCTGACTTGGATCTCACTGTGTAGCTCAGGCTGCCTCAAAGTTGTACCATTCTCCTGCCTCAGCCTCCCTTGTTCTACAGTTAAAGGAACACACCTTGTCTCTCATTATCATTAACCACTTTGTGGTTTTTTTTTTTATGTCAGAAATACTTGGTTAAAGAATAAGACATCCCATTAGGGTGAATGAATAGTCAGTAGGCAATAATACTCTCACAAGCTGAAATGTATGCAGACTTTAACAGTAGGTTTCTGGTGCATTTGGATAAAAGTATAAAAAGCAATTTAAACATCTGTTTTGTTTTCTTTGCTTTTGGTTTTGGTTTTTTGAGACAGATCTCCTTAAAGATGTGTTGATAGCCATTCCAAAGGAGTAAACAAAGTGCGCTTTCTAAAGAAGGAGAGATCATTTTGGTCTGGAGTTGATCAAGAAGTGGTAGAATTTGAAATGTGTAAAATACTTTATTAAATATAATTAAATATTTTTTAAAAATTAATGTGTGTATGTGTGTGATATGTGTGGGTATGTGCATATGGGTGGAAGTAGTGCCCTCAGATGACAGAGGCTTTGGAATTCCTAGGAGCTGGAGTTACAGGCAGTTGTGAATCACCTGAAGTAGTTGCTGGGAATCGCACTTGGGTCCTCCCTTAACCGCTAAGGCCTCTCTCCAGCCCTAAATAATTTTATTGAGCAGGTAGAATTTAAGATGCAACTTTTACTGCTTTTCACACTAGCAAAAATAGGAGAAAGAATAATACTAATGTACAGTGTACATCATTTGCTATTAAAGTCTTCAGCACAAAGGTGGGAAGGTTATGGTAGACAGGAAAGTGGGGTTGACATTGATTCTTTGTGTTGGACTTTTACTCTGTGAATTGCTTTTTAGATGGAATTACTCTGATCACCAAAGATGAAGCCCCAGGAAGCTCTGTCACAGCTGAGGAAGCCAAAAAGGTATTGAGAGCTAATTGCCTGTCTTTAGATGAATTATAGCCACGAGAAAGCTAAATTTTGAGAGTAACTAACATAGTATGCCCTTTCTTTATTCGGCCAAGTAAAATGCTTCAGGTGTAACATCCGTAGAAGAAACATTCAATCTACTCACTTTCCCATGGCTATGTTTTTAGATCTACCTGCAGTCTAGTCTCAGTAGCTATAGAACTATTGAACTCCACAGTGTATTTCTCACTTAGCCTGGATCCTAGCAAAGACTATGAAGTACCACTCTACCCCTTAAAGTTTTATTTATTACATTTTTTATTTTTGCGAGGAGGTGGTGGGGTGGGGTATGCACACCATGGTACATGTGGAGGTTAGAGAAAACTTGTGGGAATTGGTTCTCCCCTTCTATCATGTGTGTTTCAGAGATTGAATTCAACCTTGATGGCAAGTGTCTTTACCTGCTGAGCCATGGTGCCAGCCCCCACCCTCTTGAAAAAATAAGGATTAAAAATCAAGGGGTAGAGATGTGGCTTAGTGGTAGACTAATGGACAGCTGTGTATAAGGTTGTCGCCCAAGTTTTCTTAGGGTCTTTTGTGCTATCAGACAAACCATATAACATTTTTTTTTTTACATCCACTTCCCAGATAGCACCCTCCCACAGCCTCCCTCCCCCCACTAGAGCCCTTATACTCTGATATCCCTGCTACTGTCTGCTGTGTTATTGGCATCCCCAGCCATTCCCCACTACTTGCCCTTTTGGTGAATCTAGTCAGCCTATCTAGAGGTCTTTGTTTTAGGAGGGTCAGCTGTTCATCATCTAGCGGTAATCATTTGTCAGTATTCCTTTGGATAATATTGGGGTCTCCTGTTCATTTTCCCAGTTCTCTGCTGGGTTACTATCTGGTAATCCCTTTGGCCACCCTGGCCAACAACTCAAAAGAAGGTATTGCCTGTCTGGCATTGTTACTTGTTATGTAGCCTTTAGCTACAGATACGGAATCTTAGAAAATTATATTGGCCCCTTTAATCTTTGGTTATACTTTCCTTTTGGGTGTTTAAGGCCATACAGTTGGTCCAGATAACATATTTTTATGTGAATTTATTATCGTTTATACCGTGGGGGGGAGTGACTCACAAAGAAACAAGCACCTGGTGCCCAGCTCTGTGCTGCGGCTCAGAGCCTGCCACTCTAGATTGCTCCCGTGGCCCACCCATAGTCACCACTAGCTTTTGCCCACACCTCATGGGCCCATAGTCTTGCCCCAGGTCGGTAAATGCTGGGCCATTCCGTTTTCACACCTGGCTGTTGCACTCTGGTTGTGGCTCCCATCCTAAAATGGCGCCCAGAATCCCCTCCCTCCATGGCTAACTCTCTGCAGTCAGTTCTCTGCAGCAGGCCCTGCCCCTTGGAAGAACCAGGCCCCCGGGACACGCTCCATCCCTTTCCTCTGCTCTTACAATCTTTCTGGCAATCTTCCGCTAAGGTCCCTGAACCTTGGAGGGGGTGACAGATGTAGGGCGGTCTCTCTTGTATGATGGCAAGATAATGACTTCTTGGGCCTCCCCATTATTCATCTTTAAGTTGTGGCCATTGATCTGTCTCAGTGGTGTTTCTTTTACTATAAAGACAAATAGAAGGAAGTAGACACATCTAAACAAACATGAATGTAAATACAAATGCCTAGAAGATATCCCAGTAGGAGTACTATAGTCATTAAACAGTATACTTGTACCTGCTAAGGCCTGTAGCCTTTCTTGACACAAGGCGTTGGCCTGGTCTACAGTACCAGTTGTGTGTTCTACCCCTAGGAGTGGGCCTTATCCAATTAGAAATTTGTCAGTTGTACATATGCTGGTCGAGCCATTATTGCACTTTCAGGCATTGCTTGGCATCTCCATAGTGTGCAGCACGCGGGGTCCATTGTTGAGTAGAATCATAGGGGATCCTTTCTTCCCCAACCATCTGCATCTTATTTAATCCTTGGGGATTCTTAACCACCCCTGGGATGGTTTTTATTCTTTGAATGCCTTTTGTAAACTGTTCTTCTGGTTTTAAAGCCTTCCAGAAACTCCTTAGTACCGAATTTGATTTTCTATCAATCTTTCCTCTGGGAATTTGGGCTGAATATAAGTCTTGCTACATTTGTCTTTGAGTAACCCAAATGGGCCATTTCTTCTGTCTGGTCTTTTTTTATATCTCTCCTAGGGTGTTCTGTTATTCTACAGACACATTTTACATGCTGGTCAGGATCATTAGATTTGCTAAAGCCTCTCTCACTTTACAAAGATCCTGTCCCATTAAAGGGCTTAGCAAAACCATTAAAGCCCCATACTATTCTCGAGGTCCCAGTTGAATTAAGCTTTCCTTCATATCTCTGGTGAACAGTCTTATGTGGCCCAGTGAACCGGACATCATATATTGTTTTTCTCATATCTAGTTCTCTCAGTAATACCTGCCTCTCCTTCATAGTCCTCCAGCCCCTGCTAATCATGTTAGTCTCCCTTGGTGACGACCATGTAGCTTTAATGCCTTCAACCAGCCACACCGTTAAGGACTGCTCCCCCCTGCACTGGCCTATGTTGAATTGCCTATATCACAAAGACGGATGGATGGTTATATAATTCAACTGTGAAGCTTCTGAAGGACTTAGACTGAATGTCATTTGCTCCCATGTCCCATACTCTCACAAGCCATGTGGCTATGGGCTCTTTGATTGCTTGCTTGTAAGTTTTTCCTAGTTTTAACAGTTCCAGGGTGGAGTATTTCCTAGCTACAGCACTGTTAATTTTTTTTTTTCCTTTTGTATCAACAGTTGAATCTGAGGGGGCAACTTTAGCTACTTTTATTTTTAGGTCATCTTCTTTTATACTATTATCTGTCTTTTCCTCTGAGTCCTTGGACCTTACGCAAGTTAAAGTGTCCCATTTTTTTTCTCTGTCCAGCTCTGCAACTGGATCTGCCAGGACCTCCCTGGCCTTTTCAGCTTCCCTTGCCTGGGGCACATCTTTTATTATGCAAAGTGGCCAGACTGCCTCTCTGGGTTCTCCCTTTGTGTCCAGAGCCAGTAAAAGATTTTCTAGCCTCTGGACAACCTTTAACAAATCTTGACATACCCACAACATACCCCCACATTTACAGAACAGCTGTGGCCCACACTTCTGCGTGTCTGGCCCCTTTTTAGTTACATATTTTATAATCCATTGTAAAAACCACATCAGCGCTGCCATCAGCTCTCTAGCTTTTTCCAAACTTTCACAGTTTGTCATTTTTAGCACCTTCATCCTGCCGACTTGGAGCCAATTTTACACTATTAGACAAACCATATAACAGTTTTATGTGAATTTATTACAGTTTATACCGTGGGGGGGGTGACTCACAAAGAAACAAGCACCTGGTGCCCACTCTGCACCACAGCTCAGAGCCTGCCACTCCAGAGCGCTCCCACGGCCTGTCCATAGTCATCACTAGCTTTCACCCATGACTTGTGGGCCTGTAATCTTGCCCCAGGTCGGTAAATGTTGGGCCATTCCATTCTTGTGCCTGGCTGCTGGCACACCCGGGTCGTGGCTCCCGTCCCAAGATGGCGCCCATAAGCCCCTCCCTCCGTAGCTAAGTCTCCACAGTCAATTCTCCACAGCAGGTTCTTGGAGGAACCAGGCCCCTGGGACACAAGATGCTGAGTTTGTTCCCCAGCACTTCAAAAGCAAAACAAAGACAAGAATCACCTCAGAGATTTTGTTGGTTTGAGACAGGTCTTGGGTATGGTTTATTTGAGATTTTAAAACCTCTCTTGTGAGTATAATAAGAGTTTGACCTGGAGCTGTTGAACAGGAGTCTGGGAGGGGAATGGCAGGGACAGGACTGGAAATGTTCATCGTATGTCTAACTTCAGGCCAAATGGACAATGCCATGGATTCTCAACTCAGAAAAGGCATTTGATAGAGACCAAAGTATTATTTTGGGGAGAAATTAGCCAGCAGTAATCAATGTGTAACAGGTGCAGAAACACTCTTGTCCTAGCAACAGGGATAGGCAAATGTTTTCAGTGAAAGACCCCCGTGGATACAGACCCCATGAACTTTTGATTGGCACATTTGTTAGATCGAGGACTCCTTGTTTGATGTATTGAGTAGCGAATCTGATTCAGTTGTGAGTCAAATATGTGTGGCTATGTAGTTCAGTAATTCTTCATTGTGTGTCAAGGTTGTGATGAAATTTTAATGAAATTAAATTGAATAGCTCAAAAGTACATTGTTTGTTAACATTATACTTCAGTTGCAGTCCCTGGCTGATGAAATCTCACTGCACAGTGCCTGGCAGCTGGCAGTTGACTAAGCTGCCATATGCTGGTACTAGACTGAATAATGAGAGTACCGTGCCCTCTCTAAGCTCAAATGGTCAGTTCCAGGAACATAGGGCTGTGATGGAGACTCAAAGATAGCTGCATGTGGTAAAGAGAGTTGAACAGGAGTCTTGGAGGAGAATGGCAGGGACAAGACTGGAAATGTTCATTTGTCTTAAGGATTCTCAGCTCAGAAAAGGCATTTGATAGAGATCAAAGTATTATTTTGGGGAGAAATTAGCGAGCAGTAATCAATAATTTTAGTATTTTGGCATGTAAAAGGGTTGAGTTTTCTGTTTGTTTAGTTTTTTACTTTATTTTCTATTTGTGTTTTGACACAAGGTCTGTATTCTAAGCTGGCCTTGAACTCTCTATATGACTTGAACTTTTTTTTTTATCTTTGTGTGTGTGTGTGTGTTCATGTGAGTATAGGCCCACGTATGTGATGGCATGGGTATGGACGTCAGAGAACAACCTTGGATGTTGGTCTTCACCTTCAACCTTGTTTGAGGCAGGGTCTTTTATTTGCTGCTGTGTATGCCAATCTAGCTGGCCTGTGAACTTCTGGGGTTTCTCCTGTTTCTGGCACCCATGTCACTGTAGGAACAGAGATCACAGATGCAGGATACTCTATCCAGCTTTTGTATGAGTGCTGGTAATCCAAACTC